CAGGCTGGAGGCCTGGGCGGGCGGAGGCAGGCTGAGTGTCTTCGCTTTCCCGCTCTGTTAACCTGTTCCCTGCTCTCCAGCCCGTGTTGTAACGTGCCCCTAACGAAGCGGGGGTTGTACGTTTTGTCTTGGCGTCTGTCGTCAAGGGGCTCCAGCATATCTGGCTCATAGAATTTGAGGTATTGATGCTTTCGCTGTAGTGAAGGTTGAAACTACGGGAACGGAACGGTTTCTTGGGTGGGGAGGTGCACGGTGCTATTCTTGCTGTGTTAACAGTATTGCCGGGTGACTTTCAGCAAGTCACCTCGCCATTGGGTCCCTGCATCTCCAGCTGTAATGTAGAACTAAAAGTGGCTTCTACCTAAAGAGCTCTGAGAGGAGGGGTGCTGCATAAAATCTAGTGGTGGTGTAGCTGAAACACTCAGCTGAGATTTGAGCGTAACTATAACACCTTTAATAACGTCATGTGCTGGCACTGAATTTGTTTACTTACAAACCACCGTAAGAGCATAGGATGGTACTTCTTTAATAACGTATTTTTTCATAGGTTGGAGCAGCTTTGCCTGTTGATGTCTTAATATATGAGGAGAAAACTCTGTCTGCCATATTAAGAGTTATTAGCAGGTAAGGTACAGTAGGTACACGCTTCAGGTACTGCCATGAAAATATTTTTCGTAAGAAAACAGAACTCTTAAGCTATGGTTTTTGAAGAATTAAGCTGAACTTGCAAGACATCTGCATCCAGCATGCAGAAAATAAATAAAAATGTGCTAAGATTTGGTAACCTGCATGCCTCAGTACATTATTCCTGCTTTAAAACAGAACAGGAACTAAGCGCCATTGAAGTATGTAGCTTTAAATCTCTTTCTATAATAAAGATGAGAATGGTTACTGGATTTAAATGGTGAAGACAACTGCAGGTGATTTAGGGGAAGAAGAAGCTTAAACACACAGAGAGAACAAGAACAGGTCTGGTAAAGCAAAAGTACGTCTCTCTGTGTGTGTCGTTGCAATAACCCTTCAGGGCAGTGTTGCTACTAGAACTCATTGATGAAATTCCTTGCTGTTAAACTCAGTTAAGATTTCGTTACTCTTTATATAACGTGTTTTTATTTAAGAAGTTTATGCTGTAGGAAAACTGAAAAAAACAAACTTCATGAATACATTTAATTTTCTTTTTACTTAGCGGCCTTGTCAAGCTGTGGAGTGCCTTAACGTTGTTGGGCTTCTACCAGAACAGGAGGTGTGCCTTTCGAGTGCTGCAGGTAAAGCCCTGCGGGGGCTGGATGGCTTCCCCCAAACGTCAGTTCTTGCTCCAAGGTTGCCTGGCTAGCTGGGTACTCTGCCTCTTCATAGAAAGATGGCCTAGATGCAAAAACGTCTTGGTTTGGGTGTGAAATGCTTTTCAATGCAGGTGTGTAGGCCTGTGTGTTTAAGCTATTCTTATCTTATAATGAATCTTGTGAAGTGTGACAGTAGTTGCTGTCTCATTACTTTCTGGTCTCATTCCAGTGAGAAGTCCTGATCTTGTTAAAACATCTGCGAGAAAATAATTTCTGGAAAGTTTTGTTCTTGGTCCACACCTTGGTCCAATCTTTCATTTTCGCTACCCCATTTCTTCCCTTTCTAGAAGTCACTGTCAACTGCCCTCATTTAAAAATGCCTACACAAACATGCACTTCCAGAGCTTATTTTTTCCTGAGGATGCTGCTTAATAAAATGAGTTCCAAGAATTCTTTGTCTCCAAAGCAATGGCTAAACAAAAATCTGCTTGGGCATAGCTCTAAGTTTTTAATCTTTTAGAGAAAAGAGGAATTTAAATATTTTCAACTTTGACTGCATTTGATGGTATTTTGTTTATTTTTTTTTGAATGCTTTAGTTTGTTTCTTGCTTTGTTTTTGTTTCCCACTCAAATTAGACATCTCCATTTCTTCTTGCGTTATCTGGGAACAGCAGAGAACTAGTCTTGGACTGAATGCACGTGTTGATTTGCTTGTACAAAGAAGTAGTTACTTGAGATGTTGCAGCCCTTCAGGTATGGAATTTCTGGAGGAGATTTCCGACAAAGAGCCTTGACAAAGCTAACAGTTATCAACTCACTGCTTGGACGTCCCTTCCCTCAGCATTTACACGTAAAAGTTGGAGACAAAGCTGAGCTTACAAAAGCTTTTACACAGAATGATGTTGTTACTTTTTCTGATTTAACAGGTGACACAAATCCTTTGCATTTAAATGAAGATTTTGCAAAGAAATCTAGGTTTGGGAGAACTATTGTGCATGGAGTTTTGATCAATGGACTTATTTCTGCAGTTCTGGGTACTAAAATGCCCGGTCAAGGTTGTGTGTTCCTTTATCAGGAGATCCGATTTCCAGCTCCTTTGTATACTGGTGAAGAAGTCCTAGCTGCTGCGGAAGTTAAACGACTGAAGGGTTCTATTGCACACATTTCAGTATCATGCAAAGTCAAAGAAAGTGGAAAGACTGTTATGGAAGGGATGGTGAAAGTCATGGTGTCGGATAGTTAGAGCTGTTGATCCTATGCTGCTTTACTATAAAGGCCAGAGATGTACGCTTGGTTTTGACTCTGTCTTTTTACGGGGTATCACTTAATCCAGTAAATTTGCAACAAAAAACCCTCACAATGTTTCAAAGAGAGTGCACAAACTTAATGTTGACAGAACTGCATTAAACTTAGCACTTTTTCATTTTTTGCTGCATACTGCCAAGATGAAACCAACGGAACTAGGCGCTTACTGTGACAAAAGTGGCACATTTAGATGAGCCTTTGCTTTCTGCTACAGCAGAAAGTCTGGAGCAGTGGGTTTATATTGAGGCTGTTCTTTTTGGGAAAAATTGCAATGCACACTAGCTAAGTTCAGTTAAAATTTGTTCCCCCTTTACAGAGTAGTTGTATTGCTAACAGGCACTGCACGGAGGGGACAATGCTGTGTTTAACAAGCGGAATAGAAGTGGAGGTATTGACACACATGTACTGCAAGATCTATCATAATCTATGTGGCAGCTGTAGTTGATGTTGGTGTAGTGTGTTCTTTTGTCATGTTCTAGCTAGTAACGTCTGTCTTAGCTCTGCTACAGGTAGTAGTCAGCCTTCACATGAGCAATACACTCTGCCTGATGTGGCTGGAGATGTGGCTCTCGCAATACTTTCAAATTCTTTGGATACCTTACAAAACCTGATTATAAACAAACAAAAAAGTTACCTTTAATGATAAATGGCCCTGAAACTTTGCCTCCCAGAAGCAGAGGGAAGGAGGCTTTTAAAAAGCCATACTGTCACTGCTGATACTTGGTGCCTCCTTATGCTCCTGCGGGCAAGACAGGCAGGGGCAACGTCGAGTAGTACATGGCTTCTCTCGCCTTATTTGACTGTGAACGTGTATTCCCCTTTGCCCACTGAAAGTACCTTGGTTGCTGGTAAAGTAGGATTCTGGTAAATTCACTATTAAATCATCCGGATTAAATTATTTTAGTACCAACATAAGATTATTATACACCAAGAAACTTTTTATCAGGACTGATGGGGACCATCAGGAGGAAAAGGACAGGTTGTCTTCAGTTGGTGGCTCATAATTTTCTGGCAAAGCATCTGTTATTGCCATATCTTCTCTGCAGCAGAAACGCGTTTGTAACTTTTCTTGGCTGCAAATAACCACCAAAGTTGTCTTCTGTTGAAGGAAAGCTTGTGATGGAGGCTACTGGTAAAACAGTTACAGTGTCTGGGTGTGATGTCATGTTCTGAAATGCAACAAACAACAAAATCCAGGTGTTAGGTCAGATGTTTAAGATGTTTGACTTCCCTATGCCCTCTGTTTTCAAAGGGCAGGATATGGCCCGTTCACAACATGGAACCAGTACTTGGGGAGAGCTTTCCTCATCTCCTCTGAGTTGCTTCACTTCCCCTTTCTTCTGCCTTGGGTCACTGTCCGATCGCTGGCTTTTGCCATACAAAACACTGTTTCACTGCAGACGTGCTCCTTCCCTCGTTCCCCTGCCTCTAGATGGGAACTTGTTACGTTAATTTGATTCCTATTAAGAAAAGGAATCAAATCTGCGTCTGACCTCCCAGGTCGCTGTAGAAGTGCTGTGGAAGGATTGCTGTTCAGCCTGAGGTTTAGCTGCCTCACCACAGCACGCAGCCCGTTTTCCTGTTGATGTCGAGCCGCAAGACAGACATGAGACTACTTTCGGTACCTGTTTGAAGCGTACGACAAACTCGAGCTCTGCAGTCTTACAGCTTCCTAAGTGACTCAAATTCCTGTATATGGTGTAAAAGGACGAGGAAACGCAGACAAGTGTTCAGTGGGCAGTAGGGTCCCAACTGCTAAGTAGCATCGAAATAAAGAGTTTTCTACGGTGTTACAAGGAGAGCTAGGTTGTGGAACTCAATTTAACAACTTTAAATCTGTGTTTTGAAAAAAAATTAAAAAATTAACATCTACAAATGGAATGGCAGATACTGGATGCTATTTGATTTTTTTTTTTTATGATCGTTTAGCTACAACAATAACCCCAAAGGTAGAGCAGTACGCGCGCCAC